TCTTGTAAAACTCAAATTATATTAAGTTCTTTAGAACTGGTTTATTTGTCGATGGCACACGATTTATGAGGTTTTTTGGATGACCGATTCAATTCTATTGCAATATACCTAATACCTACTCCACCTAAAATCATTTCTTGCTAGTAATGGGCTATTTATATCAATAATAATAATTTTAACAGGATTGAAGCTATCTTGTTGAAGATACGGTAATATCAGGCTTTGAAGTAATGTGTTTCAATGTAACGATATTCATGAAAATTGTTAACTACTGTGAGAAGGCCATTGAATTTTTACATTCTCGGTTATATCGTTGATATATCAATTTATTATTCACCTCAAGTATACGTACTCAGTGTCATAAGTGGAACAAATTCATATAGAATATAGTTCGTGTCAGTATTTCTCAAACCGTCTGCTTGTAATGCTAAAGACAGTCCATCCTATTTCAATGCCTATTTGATCCGCAAAAATTTACCTTTTAAAAATATTGTGATAGTGATAGTGAATGTTTTACTAAAACTTTGGAAATACATAGTACTTTTACGAATGACCAGGATGATAGGTGAGATTTCGAACTCCTTACATAAATTTAAAAGGTTTGCTTCTCAAGTTGTGATAAGAAAAAACAATTCGTTAGTTAAATTCCAATTGTGATGCTACCTAAAAGGTATTTTATTGTATTTTTTCCGGAACTTTCGTAGATATCATTCAACATAATAACATTGTACTAGTTGTGGGTCGTAGATTTTCCCCATGATGATGGTGGAGTGAGGCGCTAAGAAAAAAGCTAGTCCCCTAAGTCACCTATTTTTTCAAAAAGTCCCCAAGGTGATCAGGAACGGTAAACAACAAGTTATGGAAATTTTTGAAGACATTGACTCATCTAAAAGTTGTTTGTGAAAGAGTGTTGAGAAATGGAATTTAGCAATGATGAGTTCGCCGATAATATTTTTGTGTACGGGTTCTGTAATGGAAATGCTTTTAGCGGCTCCTCGGGAGTATCAACGTAGATTTCCTAACAGACGCCAACTTACCTGAAAGGGTTCATTTCTAAGACTTCGGCAATATGGATCGCCAAACTCCCGGAGTTAGAGCCCACGGTATCCGGCATACTGCTCCAGAGAAACTGGATGTGATTAATTTGGCGTCGGATGATCCTAGTGCAAGTACTAGGCGGATTTCAGCCCAATTACCATGTTCCCAAGTGTTGCGCGGAGAATTTAAATCGGAAAGTTTTACATCATTACCATCGGAAAAAAGTGCAATGTCTGCAACCGGCGACGGAGTGCAACGGCGAAATTTTTGTGTGTGGTTACTGAAAATGCATAATAAAAATGCAGATTTCATTGATTTGGTTTTATGATCAGATGAATCGCTTTTTACGACGACTGGAGCCTTTAATTCTCATAATGAACATATACTAAGTGACATATAAATCCAAACACCCAGTTTTAAATGGTGTTTATTTTAATAAAATTTGTATAAGTACTTAATGAAACATAATAGTAAATGATAAAAATTTCAAAATGATTGCACTGCTTTAAAGCCCTTTGACCTTTAATAATGTGTGGATGCACCCTGATGTGCTACGCATTCTCCAACGCGCCTAGGCATGCTTCTGATCAGGTGGTCAATGTCCTCCTGTGGTATCTCATTCCAGGCAACCACCAACTCCTCTCGAAGTGCTTCTAGAGTCTGAGGAGGACGTTGCAAATTGAGCAATCTCCTACCCATCATATCCCACACGTGCTCAATTGGGGATAAGTCGGGAGATCTTGGTGGCCATGGTAACAATGTGACATCATTATGTTGAAAGAAGTCTATTGTGACTCTTGCAACAGTGGTCGGGCATTATCTTGTTGGAAAGTTGGATCTGCCAGGGTGTCAAGATAGGGTAAAAGATGGGGTTCTAGAACTTCGTGGATATAACGCTGCGCGTTCATGTTACCTCTGATGAAGATTAAAGGTGACCTGGAACCATAAGCTATAGTACCCCAAACCATAACTCCAACAGTGTGATGAACATGTCTTTCAACAAAAAACTGTGGATTCCCTAACCCTGGCACGACCATCGTGCATGCCTAAACAAAATCGAGACTCGTCACTGAAGACAATACTGTTCCATTCCTGATCCCAGAGTGACCGTTGTCTGTACCACTCAAGGCGATTACGTTGGTGTTCTCGAGTTAAAGGGAGGACCCAGTGTGGCCGGTATGAAAACAAGCCAAAACTTCTCATTCGATGGTAAACACTTCGCATGCCAATAGGTCTTCCGTGTTCTGCAAACCATTCATTTGCAATGGACCTGGTAGTGGAGAAACGGTTCCTTAAGGCCAATAATCTTAGGCGGCGATCTTCACGGTCTGTTGTTCTGCGGCGGAGTCCAGTGCCCCTTGCTCTTTGCGTACGGCCTTCTGAAGCCATGCCTGACAACACCTAACCACAGTGTCTACACTTCTTTGCACTCTAACTGCAATTGCCCGAAAAAGTCCAGCTTCCCGAAGCACCACTATACGGCCCCTATCAAACTCACTATAGTAAGTTGACGAAATCGTACAGGTCTCCGTACTAGACATCGTAACCGATCGTAAAGGATGTCAAGAACCAAAATCCGCCAACGTTGATTCTTTACTGCGGCTGAAATATTCATTTTTAGAGCGTTAGTGAATTAAAAAAAAGCAGTATAAAAACCGGAATGTCCAACTGAAGGCTGAACATTTTTTCACTTGTTACTTACAGTAATATAAATACATTCACCAACTTTTATTAAAATAAAACCATTTAAACTGGGTGTTCGGAATTATATGTCACTTAGTATATATACGGTGCAACCTGCTTATAATGGACTCGGCGGAAGTGTGACAAATAGTCTATTATAGGCGGATGACCATCTTAGAAAATGAAAAAAACCATCATAAATAACATATTAAAAGCTAAAAATGTGTTTGTTTAATATATATTACATAAATAAAGATACATACAAAAAAGTTATACGTAATTTTGAAATTTGCATTTTCAGAATCTAATACACATATTACAGACATGCGCACTGTGTAAAAACGCTAGTAAGTTTCATTTGAACAGATTGTTCCTTTGTACATATAATTATTTAGAAGAGCAAGTTGAATTTTATTTAATTCGGTAAATGTGGCTGTACTGTCTTCTTCTAGCTGAAAATTACGTTGCAACTTTTTCAGGCAGTCTTCTTCATCGTTGTTTTCTAGTTCGTCTTCCAGTGCGTTATCAACGGATCCTTCATGAACCAAATTGGAGTCTGACAATTCATGTGTTGCTATTAAATTATTGTCAACATTTAGATACTCATTGAATTTGTCTATATTCAGTAAACTTTTAATTTTCACTAAATCGCTTAATGGAATTTCATCTTCTTCAAATCGTTGACTATTTCAGTTATGTTTTTCACGAAACCAGCATGGCGAAACGAATTACGAATCGATTCTGGAGTAACCAATTCCCATGCAATAGTAAGCAAATTTATAGCATCCAAAAAGGTGACAGCATTGGTAATGTTGACATCTTCTTGAAGTTCCATAATTTTCATCAACATTATGTTTCCGATACATTTTTTTAAGACTCCAAATGACACCCTGGTCCAGTGGTTTCAGAACTGATATCACATTGGGTTCAAAAAATTGAAGGTTGATGTTATTAAGTGAAATATTTGGATGAACGGGGCAGTTATCGACCAAGAGCAAAATTTTACAATTTTGTTCAGCGCCCCAATTTTTAAATTCTTCAAAAATTGATGAAGTCATCCAAGTTTTATCATTTCTAAAATAATCGACGGGAATTGTTTTTCCATTTTTTAAATTTCCCTGAAATGAAAAAAAGGTCATAAATTCTTTGCAGCACTGCCATTGAATATCAAAAAAATTAGAACGTGAATTTCTATTTATTCACTTACCTATTATCAATAGTTTCCGTTTTTCAGTACCAGAAGCATTAGCACAAATCATAACAGTTATTCGCTCTTTTGATAGTTTCCCTCCATTGCAAGTCTTACCTTTTATTATCAGCTGAATAATCACTGGATATTACGGACCAAACTTGAGACATCCAGTCACTGGTAACGTTCTTGTCAACTGAAGCTGACTCACCACACATTTTTCCAAAACAATTTTATGTCTTTCCTTAAACCCGTCGGAACTACATTTGAAGTAATATCGAATCAATTTCCCAAATTCTTCAGCCTTTATTTGTAGCATAGGTCCACTTATTGGAAAATTATTAGCATGCTTTTCTTGAAACCATTTAAACGGCATATCATCGCCTTGGAGATGCAGCGATAGTCGCATTTTTTCTTTTGACTATTTGATTTCCAGTCATTTTTAATTTTGTTACGGTTTTCCAAATATTTGACATAGTGGATTTTTTAAAGCCATACGGGCACATATATTTGCTTGAGATGAACCCTGCTGAAGCTCACTAATTATTATGAACCTTTCGTGTAAAGTGAATGCACGTTTCG